TTTATTTATGGGAAATGCTCACCTACCCACGGTGGGCACATGTTAATATGCCCACCGTGTAGGTAACATGCACACAATGGGGATGTATTTTTTTGAACATATTCACATCATCAATGAATGTATGCCGCCTACGCAGTGGACATATTAACATGTGCCCACCGTGGATAGGGGAGCATTTATAATATATTTATAGGTCTCATGTCGTGTGATGAAGGTTGAAGCTCACTTCTTGATAATATTTGGAAAAAGAAAAAAAAAAAAAGATAATTTCACAATGGAATTTATTTATATCATCAAGATGTGACACAACTAAGAGCATCTCCAATGGAATATTGTCCATTTTGTGTTGAATGACATGAAGAACATAAATTAAAAAATTATGTCTTCAATGGTTAGTGTGAATTGTGGTATCATTTGTGATGTGTAAAATTATAATAGGGTGGAAAAGATAGAAAATGAATAAACAATATATAATAAATAGTAGAAGCATTCTAGAATGCCTTCTACATCTAGAAGGCCTTCTAGACATTTTTAATGCCATATAGGATTGTGTGTGCCATGTGGCAATAAAATAGAATAATAGAATGACCATTGGAGATGTTTAAGAGTGAAAGTCAAACTCGACTAGCCACGATCAAAATATAAAAAATAGAACAAAAACGTACAAAAAACTCCCCTACTTAGTTTTTTGTTTGTCCTTAAACAAATAAAATTGCTAACCATTAGAAAAGAAAAAAAAATTAGTTATGAGTTTTAAATTCCTAACAGATTGATGAGAACGAGGGTGTTGCACGAACCATGCCTTAGGTGTAGTTCACGACGAAATAGGCCTCGCCCCAGACCATCGTGCCCGGCCTAGAACATTGCGCAAACACGCAGAAGACGAGCGCAAGCAGCACGGCGTTGCGCGAGTTTCATGCTGCGATCGCCCTCACGACCCAAAATAGATTGGCTGAAGAATTATGAAAAAAACACTAAGAATCGTCAGAGTAATTTAAGTTTATGTAGTGTTTTTTGCAGAAGTAAGTTCTGGAATTGAACAAAAGGTATAAGGTGGAAATATCATACCTGTGCAATATTTATAATGGAAAGAGAAAGCCCAAAGTCGAGGTTGAAGGTGAATCGTCGGATTAAAAGTCATCGGTGTGGTCTGGATTGACCAGGGAGGATGGATTTGGTGAATGTCAAAAGGCGGCCGAATGGGGCATTCATTCTGATAAGAGATCTACGGTGGAAATCAAAAGAAGCGGTAGTTATCGAAGTTGTACGAGTTAGGACATTACAACTTGGCACGCCAAGTGGGTGCAATAAGATATTCTTGTTTTTAGTCTCAACAGCTCCTCCAAGAATTT